GTTCAAAATCTTGCGCTCAATTTATTTTTAGAAATACTCTTTCTTCATAAGTGAAAATCGTTGCTCTACTCTGAACGTCAAGCGATTTTTCCCTGCATCTTTAATGAATTGGAATCGCGCACATGGGCACTTGATATATTTAGAAGTACATTTTTGGTTGATTTGCTAGAAATGACGAGAGAAAATGTTTTAGTGCGTAGAGTTGAGTGTTCGAATCCAACAACCTTGCCAATTGGATGAGCTTCACGATGCAATTTGTTCTTACAGAACAAGTTTTTTTTTGAAAAAAAAAATTTCAAATATCTCTCGGCATCCTCAGTTCATTTTTTCTCGGCTTCCTCAGTTTATCAATGCGTTTGCAACTATATTGACTACACCCAGTAAGCTCTTTGCTTACCTTTGCAATTAGCAAGGGCTTTGTAACCGATTATTGAATTTTCGGATAAACAGTTTTTTCGGATAAACAGTTTTCGGATAAACAGAATTTTCGGATCTGACATAGAGGTAACACACCTGCGCGAGGCGGCAAAGGTGATTCGAATCGGCCTGGCACCTGTTAGCAAATAAGAGTTTTTGTGCTTTTTTGGACTATCGTCCGTCTGTTTGTTTGTTTTTGTCGGCTTAGTTTCCGGGGCCCGACTTTTTTGAACGTTCAGCTGTCTTCCAAGTTGCGGTAATACCCATGCTTGATACGACAAAGTCGGGCAGTTCGAATCCAGTCGGGAACTGTTTTTTTGCGAACTGGAACTTTTCGACTATTTGAGATTATTATCTGTCTGCTTATTTTTGTCGGCTTAGTTTCAACAGAAGGGCTTTTTTTCTAGCTTTCCGAAAGCCCTTTGAAAAGTTTTTAATGGTTTGTTCCGGATATTTTGGATATTTATAAAGTTTCTAATGGTTTGTTCCGGATATTTAATTAGTTTCTAGTGGTTTGTTCCAGATATTTAAAAAGTTTCCAATGATTTGTTAAGGATATTTGTCAAGCTTCTAATGATTTGTTCCGGATATTTGAACGTAGTGAAGACTCTTATATAGGTCTTGGTAATTTTTTTGGTTTTTTTTTCAGGAAAAGTTTTAAAATTTGTTCACGCTTAATTTTGATTTTTTGCAGCTTGTTTTTTTTAAAGCTCAGTGCATTTCCTTTTTTTTAAAAGGAAGACAAACTCCACTATCAAACAGCAAAAGTGTAAAGGTCACGAAAAACGTAGTTGACTTCTTGATTCGAAATTGGAATTTAATTATCAGGTTTCACAGTGAAATACAATCATTACGTATTGATCCAGTTTTCTCAAATTGGGTTGATTTCATGAAAAAATGGTCAATAATAAATTGTTCTACAAAAGATGTTTTAGGCCATCTATTTTTTTCTTCGAAATTGGAAGGCGGAGATTTTTCAAAAAACAATCGAGTAGTTTTTTTTTTCTGTTTCGTTGCGTTTATTACTCTTTTGCAACTAGAAGTCGGCTAAGTGTGTATAGTTTCTATGTTTTGTTCCGGAGATTTTTGGGCTTTTTTGCAAGAGCAAATGACTTGAAATCGGGAACTAGGCTAACTTTTTTTCCTGCTAACAACTTTTCTTTTGTTTTACTTTTTCGTATTTTTTTTTCTTTTTCGTATTTGTGGATTTCGTCTTAACTTATGTCTTAAATTGTAGATTTTTTTTTACTTTTTCGTATTTGTGGATTTCGTCTTAACTTATGTCGTCTGATTTCTCATTTTTAAGAGTTGTTGAAAGTAGTTAAGACTCTTATTCAGGAAACGTCTCAAAATTTGTTCAGGCTCAAATTTATACCTATTCGCAACTTGGCTTTTGATTTCTTTCTAAGTTCAATTCATTTGTGTATCTAGATTTTTCTTTTAAATTTAAAAGTTGAGGTTTTTTCAAAAAAAAAACAAGTCAGTGTTTTTCTCTGTTTTACTTGCTTTCATTGACTCTTTTCCAACTCTGTTGGCTATTTTTTCCAAACGCACTTTATTATAACTGGTACGTTTTTAGAGCAATTGGTTTCAAAGCTTTATTTCAATTTTCCATTCAAATATTGTAAACTATAATTGAAAGTTGTTCTGTAATTTATCAACTCTGATTTTTAATAATTTTATTGTTTTTTTTTCGGCTAAACGGTTTCAGTTTATGTTATATCGGTTTGGTCCTTTTTTGTTGGTTGCGCAGTTTCAAGGGCGAAAATTTAATAATTATTTTGCTTAATTCAGGGAACAAATTTTGATTTTATAATTTTTTAGCTTGCTTTTTTCTTACTAGTTTAGTTTTTGGCTTAACGAGGGTCGACTCAAGTTTTTTAGCTTTTGTTGACCTTCTCAATGCTTGTTAAGATGTTTTTGAACATAATCCGAGACGAAGTTGTGAATTTTTTGTAGATATTTTTTTCGAATTTTTCAGTCAAATAATTTTGTTTTCTTTATTATCTCGTAATGCAATGTTCTAATTGTATCGCAAGAGGTGCGAAAATCAGTTTCGCCTCTGTGTATAGATTTTTTCTAATCCTTTTTCGAGGAAAACTTCTTGAATATTTTTAATTTACAAAATTACTATCGAATATGTCTAAGTTATGGGCTTGTGTTCATCATATCATCACACCTTGAAAAAAAATTCTTTTTGAATTTTTGCGCTCTAGTAACGAATCTGAAAATGCATTAAGGACAGTAGTTTGCTGTGCTAGTATCACAGCATGTTTTGACCACATTCATAAAAAACATAACATAAATAAATTTTTCCATTTCTTCCAATCAGTGTCGTTTTTTGTGCGTGGTGCGATGAGAGAATTATTCAAACGCGTAGAAAGTTAGTGAGTTAGGCACGAACGGTAACAAATGTAAATGTCATTTGTCTATTTGTGCACAGTCTTTTTAAAACTTTTTGTTGGAAATTTTTTGAAAAAACCGTAAAGGAAATTTTCAAACTATTTTTCTCTTTGGTAATAATAAGTTTTCTTTACCTAATTGACCTATTTTTGTAGAACGAACGTTACTCGATCAATTTAATTGCTAAAAGATAGACTGAAAATCAAAAACTGGGGAAAATTTATGTCGTTCGAATTGCGACTGAAAGGGTTTTGATATGATATATCACTCAACGCGTTCCGATGATTATTTAAATTGCCTGACTTTGCGTGAAAAAAAACTACAACAAATCTGAATACAAATTTCTTCCCCAGTTTCAATGGTCGAAACAAATCAATGTTTCCAGCGGAGCTCCAATTTATCATGATGATTAAAATGAACTGGAAGCGCAAAAGCGGCTACGCATTCAAGAGTCAATGAACGCAGTGAAGACTCTTATATAGGTCGTGAAACTTTTTTTCAGACAAAAGTCATGAAATTTGTTCACGCTCATATTTGCGTTTTGGCTATTTGACTTTTGATTTCTTCGTTTTTTTTCTGCTCTTTTCCTTTAAACTCCACTATCGAAAATCAAAAGTGTAAAGGTCACGAAAACGAAATTGACTACTGGTTTCGAAAGTGGATTTTCATTTTCAGATTTTCCATCGGAAAAAAACTTTATCCATTGATTCATTTTTCTCATTTAGCTAATTTGATCAAAAAAGGCTATGTATTTCTTATTCGAAATTGAATGTATTTGATATTCGAAAGTTGAATGTTTCAGAAAAAGAAAACGGTTCTTTTTTGTTTTCTTGCGTTCATTGACTCTTTTCCAAATATATATACATACATACATACATGCATACATACATACATACATACATACATACATACATACATACATACATACAAACATACATACATACATACATACATACATACATACATATACATCATATATATACATACATACATACATACATACATACATACATACATACATACATACATACATACATACATACATACATACATACATACATACATACATACATTCATACATACATACATACATACATACATACATACATACATACATACATACATACATACATAAATACATACATACATACATACATACATACATACATACATACATACATACATACATACATACATACATACATACATACATACATACATACATACATACATACATACATAAATACATACATACATACATACATACATACATACATACATACATACATACATACATACATACATACATACATACATACATACATACTTACATACATACATACATACATACATACATACATACATACATACATACATACATACATACATACATACATACATACATACATACATACATACATACATACATACATACATACATACATACATACAAACATACATACATACATACATACATACATACATACATACATACATACATACATACATACATACTTACATACATACATACATACATACATACATACAAACATACATACATACATACATACATACATACATACATACATACATACATACTTACATACATACATACATACATACATACATACATACATACATACATACATACATACATACATACATACATACATACATACATACATACATACATACATACATACATACATATATTGGCTATGTTTTATTTATAGCGTTATATCTAAATTTTGGATATATGGGAAATAATATGATTATTTTTGATTTTGAGTTCTACAAAGTTTCTGCAAATTTTTGTTTTGCAATTGTTAGTAAAATATACTGTTTTTCTTAGATATTTTTTTCAATTTTTTTGTTATAAGGAAGCAATGAAAGTACGCTTGTGTCGAAATGTTGCTGATGGACTTGTAGTTCATTTATCCCCTAAGTGTTTTGCAAAAATTCTTAATCGTTTGGAGGATTTGGACTACGTTGTTTTGTGAACGAAACTCATTTTTTGTCTTATTTGAATTTCTTTGTTATGTGAAAAAATGTTGTGTTGTGTATTTCTGATAGCCCGTATAGTTTTAATAGCTTAAGTTAATTGATTTATTTAAGAATTTTATTTTAAACATTTTGAATTATGAGTTTTTCATAAATGGACTGTTTTTTTTATGTTCTAGATTCGGAATCTGGTGGTGTGTCGTCTGCAGTTGACCAACAGACCCTGCTTCTTCTGAGGAAGAGAGTCCACGAGTACAAAGTCGCCGCGCACCAGGCCAACAAGCAGGGAGACAAACCAGCTGCACTCAAATACGTCCGCGTTATCAAGGTATGATTGATTATCTTAATTAGTGAAAATGAACGATGTGAAAACATTTCATTTATTTAGGTCGTAATAATTTTTGTTACGAAAGTCGTAAAATGTTGTTGCGCTTAAATTTGATTTTTTGCAATTGACTTTTGAGTCATTTTTAAGTTCAATTTAAATTAATTTGCCAAAAAGAAGGCAAATTACGCTCTCCAACAACAAAAGCTCACCCGAAGGGCTATGGTTTTCTATAAAAAACGTGATGACTTTCAATATGGACGGTATTTTTCAAATTCCCGGCGGAAAAGAACACAATCATAAATTCGAAGAGTTTTTATTGTGAGTTATCTTTTTTTAAAACTTTTTGTTTTGGTCTTCTTTTGCTTATTGACACTTTACAGCTGTCTTCTGACTATTTTTTCACAATTCTTTGGTTTTGATTGATTAAACTGCGACTTTTTTTTCTTGCAATTCAATCTGAAGCTTAAAACAAAAAGATCTAATTGATATTGCTCGACCGGAATTAAGCGAAAGAAGTTGTCTGTTCCGAGGAATTTCTCAAATTACGAACTTTGCATGCTTTGGTTCTCATTTGCTTGCTTTAAGTTTGTTTTATTTGCTTAAATGGTCATTTTTGATTAAAAGTTCCGACAATTGTTTTCAATTTCAACAATTATCTAATTTTTGCTCGCGTCTCATCGTAAAATTTTGAAGTCAAAACGGTGATCGTATGCATTACTCCCATTAGATCAATTGAAAACAAATATGTAATATTTGGAGTTTTCGCTGCTTGAGACAACTGGCGTCATGTTTGAATTAGGAATAAAAAAGGAAAGATAAGACAGTTTTGTTTGGATTTCTGGCTGTGAACTAATACCAATTTTTTTGCTTGAACATTAATACTATTCACATCTTAGATTTAAAAATGCCTTTGATTTTTTGCCAATTGATTGTAAGTGTATATAGTCCTGACCATTTGAAAAATGTGTAGGAACTTTGTATTCGTGCGTTTTAATTTTTTTGTTTTTAACTTTTCGTTTTCCACGCAAAAGTAGTTACCACAAATAATCATCGGAATGGGTTGAGTGATACATCATATTAAAGCCCTTTCAGTCGTGATTTGAACATTTGAAAATTTTGAGTTTTAGTCCAATTTCGAGCGAGTAAAGCGATCGAGTAACGTTCGTTTTATAAAAAAATATTGGCCATTTAGGTTCAGGCTAAAAAACTTTACTTTTCTAAAAAGAAAACCAGTTTTGGAAGCTTTATTAAGCTCATTCTCGGCCATACAATTTTTCATTCAATTTTGAATTTTTACTGCAAAAAATTAGGTGAAAGAATTTTTTGTTAATTTTTTTTTTAATTTTTTGAAGACAATTGTAGTGTTTTATGCCTAATTCACTACTTTCTTCGCAATAGCGTAGCGCCACAATCACACCACTCAGAAGAAACGACGCTAATTTGAAGATGAAAATTTTTTTTTGTACTACCTTTTTACGAATGTGGTCGGAACATTCTGTGCTACTTGCACAGTAACCGGCTATCCTGGTTTTTAATCGATTCCTGAAAAAATGACCAAAATACTCTGAACTTAAATCTTTTATTTGCTGCTCAGATGTCTAGACATCTGTGTGTCAAAAGTGCTTTATAAAGATATGAGTTCACTCATCCGCTGCTTTCGGTATGCGATTGCTGTTTAATAACTGTCTAGCTGCCCTAGCAGCCAATTCAAACAAAAAAGTTCTATTTTTAAAAATAAGTGAAACAAAAGAACCAAAAAATTATAGATTACCAGGCCAAATGGATTAAAAGAGGCCAGTTATGTTAACTGAATTTTATTTGACACGTTCAACTGTTTGGCTATTGTTTGTTGTGCTGCTTTTCCAATGTAGGTCCTTTGTCAAAATATGTTTCATTTTTACCCTTTGTTATTTAATGCTTTAATTTCGATAATCTGTTCTAGGTAAACATAATTATAACCAGGTGTTCACGATGCTATCAAGTGACCAATGAAAAGCGTCTGTTAACTGATTCGCTTGAGACATTTTTAAAGAAGAGGGCTGCTGTTAAGCTAAAATTTGAAGAACGTACCATTTAGGGATTTGAGGAGGTGATATCGGCAGTGGAGACGGGCAAGAGTGTGGACATCTCTAACTTACCGGGGCCCCCTCCACTGGTACCGGGTGGCAATCCCTCGACTGACCCCAGTACAAACAACGCTTTCAAGTCGCCTTCCACCGATAACTCCAGTGAGTTTGCTTCCAAACCACCTTAACTGGTCGCATATTACTGCTGTCGTTATTAAGTGTCATTGAATAAAGTGAAGACACCTAATTAGGTCGTGTTTTATGTTGTTTTTTCAGTTAAAATTTGATCAGTCTCAAGTTTGATTCTATGCGATGTGGATTTTCATTTTTTCTAGTTCAATTCAATTTCATTTGCTAAAAAAAATAAATTAAAGAGCCTCTTCAAAACGTGATATACTTTTAGTTTCTGAAGTGGATTACAAATTCTAGATTTGCCAGCTGAATGAAAAGAATTAACTTCGGACTCCGTTTTCTCTAATTGGCCATAAAAAATTTTGAAATTAAAAGAGCTTTATCATGGTGTATTTTTTTTCTTCAAAAAGTGAAGGTGAAATGTCCAGAAAAAGTCAGTAATTTGTTTCCAACAGTCTATTGGCAGTTCTAAACTTCGCGCTTTGAACAAATTCCAGCCACGGCAACTAACTCTGTAGAACCAATATAATTTTTCAGGCTTGGCATCTGCTGCGAGCAGTGACCAGCAACAGCACCAGTCGCCAATCCGACAACCTCCCCCCGTCCCAATGACTTCATCATCTTCCCATCAACTTCCTCCCCATACCACAAACATCCAACAGCAACAACAGCCCTCGTCGGGCGATGAAAACATGGATGCATTGGTTACTAGGATGAATGTGTATAAGGAGGCGAGTGAAAAGGCAAAACAAGCGGGAGACATGAGCAAAGCCCGTAGACAGGACAGATTGAAAAACGTAAGAGTTGCCTCTTTTTTGCTACTGGTCTCCGGCCTCAAAATGGCAATACGTCTTTTTTGTGTACCTCAGACACATCGCAAGTTGTTTTTTTTTTGCATTTTTGATGTTCTCTGGTCTGCTAGACAAAGCTAACTTTACGCAATGATGATGCATAGTAATTGATGGCTAGCTTCAAAGATCTTTACGTAATGATGGGTAGCTTAGAGTACAGAATGTAAGTTTTGGATGTCTATTATCAATGTATCGAGAACGATGCTCTCCCATAAAATAAGCACCATAAATTGATTTGTTTTAAATCAATGCAAAAAGAAGACATTTACGGTTGAAATGGCGAAATCACTTGTAAAGGCTATTCAGGTAAATGTTTTTGCAGCAATATATGGACGCCATCAAATCGTACAGAAACGGACGAACAGTGGACTGGGAGGGACTTTCAAATCCTCTCGGATTCCCGCCGCTGCCCAACACAGCAGCCGCTGCAAACAGTGCGGCAGCAGGACAGTCTGGAGGGGCAATGGGAGGCAGTGGTCAGCAGGCCGCAGACTATGACCCAATAGCATCTCTCCTAAATGCGGCAGTTCAACAGATCAACAATGAGTCACCACAGACCAGCTCTGCCTCCTCGAAGTCTCGTAAGGGATTTCGGCATTTTTGTCTGCACCAAGAAAGCCTAATTTTATGTTCAATTTTCAAATTCATTTAACACGGAACTCAAATTATCCCTTTTAATATAAATTGATAATTTTGCTCTCGAAAAGATAAAAGGATGCAAAAATCTTGATGGTTTTGCAATCAACGGTATAGAAAATTGATTTCTTCTATTTTTTACCAGCGGAATAAGGAAAAGAACTTTTCAACAAAAGAACAAATTTTTTCATTGGTTTGTTGGCTGGTTCTATTGCAATGGGTTATGTTGTCTCTAGACATTGCTGGGCCAATATCAAGATCCGTAAAAGGATTTTGTCCTCAATTTTCAAGTAGGTTGCAATCTTCATCTATTCCATACGTTAGGCGTTTGGCCTTTCTGAATTTTCAAGCTGGTCTCAGACAACCGAATCTATAGCGTTCGGAGTTCACTGCATTTGTGTATTTCAGAAAGCGGAGCTCCCTCTTTCACCTCTGAGTCATCGCCAGCCGCCGCCGCAGTCAACTCGGAGCAGCCCCCTACTAGAGCACCTCCTCCTGTACCACCGAATCACCCCTCCAAGCAGGCTGCAGCTAGAACGCAACCAAGTGCAGCAAACGCACAAGGTTACACCCGTTTCTTAGAATTTATTACTTTTAGATGCATCGCGATACCATTTTCTTTCAAAAATTGCTAATAGTCGAAACCTTCAAAAAAGCTCACATTTATAGTTTTATTTAGGAAAAAAGGGACTCACTTAGTTTTTTTCTCTTTTTTGACTTCGATACACCGTAGTGGTTTGTACTAAGAAGCTTTGGTATAAGTGAAGCATTATACAAACATTGTTTTTGCTCTAGCGCCACCCAATAAGATCCAGATGACAGTTGATTTTCTGGAGAAGCGACAGCAACAGTATCGAAGTGCTGCTATTGCTTGCAAGAAGCGCAACGACATTGAAGAGGCCAAGAGATACCTGAAACTATGCAAGGGGTTCGACCCCATGATTGCTGCTGCAAAGTTGGGAAAACCAGTTGATTTGGCACAGATTCCCCCAGATCTTTCTGGTAAGGATTGCAACTATATGCTCTTCAAGCTTAAGTCTATTATTTTCGTGTCAGTCTCGAAGGCTCACAAATGTAATATTCTGTTCTATCGTTGAGATTTTTTCCTGTCTAATCATCTGAAATTTAGCAAGATTAGATGATTACGCTAGCGAGCGTTTTACTACGAACCTTCTTTTTTTTCTAACCTAACTCGCAAATAAAAGTGTTTACTTCTGTGCTTTATTTGTGGCTAGTGTTTGTGATTGACTAAGCGTCCGTGGCTGAGTGGTTATTGCGCGAGACTCTTAATTTCTAGGTTGGGGTAGGCTCGAGTCCGAATTTTTAGGCTTATTTTTACTTGCTCTTATTGAACTTTTTAGAACTCTAGAGCTGCTTTTTGTCCTGTTTTGGCTAGTGTTTGCGAAGCGCAGCTTGGGCTCTGTCTAATTTTTGCTTAATTGTATAAAAAAATTTTGCAGTTTTTGAAAGCATGGCTATTCTTTCAGGCTACAGAGTCGCAAGGTTTTTCTCGGAAACTTTTTCCAATAGAGGAAAAGAGAAAAAAAGGAAAAGGCTTTTTACATTTTTGCGTGACGCATTTGCTTTTGAGAGCAATTTTGAAATCATTTCAGAGTGATGCTTTCGATTTTGTCTGGAGGATGGCTATTCTTTTCATATCTTTGATTGCGGGGGAGTGGTTTGGACACTAGGGTCAAAACGGGAGGTCTATGAGGAGGAGTACCTATTGTTAAATCGATTTTTCCAAATTAATGGTCTTCTATCATCTATGCATTTAAAAGCGGGCGAAATATAGAGCGGGATTCGAAGTTTTACCTAAGGGTAGATACCTTTGAGAAGGCAAGGCTATTATTTTTTGCTGTATTTCACGCAGACAGAGGTTGTAAGAAGCGATAAGGCTGTGGTGGTAATCCGAATTGAATTCCCTCACTTATGACCAGGAAGGGGCAGCTTAATTGCATTATGCTGTAGTGGGTTGAAGGGCCGAGAAAGCAGGAAGCATGCTGCTAGTTAGAATCAAATCAGTGGCGAGGTTTCTTGTCTGGCCTGCTGTTGCTACCTACCAGCGTCGACAGAATTCGACGAATTTATTAAGAAAAAATAATTAGTTCACTAGGGTATCAAATTATTTTGAAACATGTTGCGAGAAACACCAAGCAGTCCCTTTTCCGAGCTAGTGGTCTGACATTATATCATATGAGTTTAGCAATTCGATTATGCAGTTAAACAAGTCGCCCCAGGTGTTCGTTGGTTAACTTGTAGTTTTTTTTGATATTGTTGTTAGAATTTTTGTCGCGAATATAGCTCTTCATTCATAGTAGTAATTGAATGATTTGAAGAGATAATATTTTTCAATTAGCTATTTGATAAATTGAAGCTCCAAAATTGGAGTCAATTTTTTGTTATTGCCCTTTTAGTTTTAAAATGAAGGACTAACTGCGTGAAATTGAAATGAAACTGTCCTGAATCATAAAAAAATTACAATGAAGCTTGTTTGTTTGTTTGTTTTTATCATGTATGTTCCAAATTTTTAGGAACACTTAAAGCTGCCAATGCTTCTGCGGCAAACTGTGCCGGCGGCGTTCTCTCTGGAAACACACTGGTCATACCGGTGGAGCAACCAGCTGTCCCGAAGCACAACGCCGACCCAAAAGAGGTAGCCAGTCTGTTCCTGTCTATCGAACAACAACTGCAGCTTCAGATCAATAAGTGCAAATACGACTCGGAGTATTATGCAAGTATAGGAGAGATTGCCAATGTGAACAAAGCGGAGAAAATGCTGCAATGCAGTGCGGTAGACTTGAATGTAGTGCAAGCGTGTAGACTGAGGGGAGAGTTGCCGCCCAAGATGCACTATGAGCAACGTGCCTTCACTAAAATAAGGTAAACATCGTCCAGTTTATTGAATCGGCGATAGTTTTCCTCATAAGACCACTTATGCCAGCACGAGCACAGTATCTATGATCAAATTGATCGAAATTTTGCTGTGTCATTTCTCAGAAGACTAGCCAATTTATTTCCCAAACAATGGGTGTCACTGCTCGTCCCGAGACCCATGTCCCTGTGGCCAGCATCTCCGTTACATACAAGAGTGTGCTTAAGCATACTGTACAAATCAGCGTTAAACGTCATCTTTATTTGGTACTGTTTTCTGATAAGGGTAAACAGTGATCTGAACGAGGGTGAGTGTGAGGTTCTGGTGTCGCGGGCGATCAACCTCCCATGTGCAGACGGGACCAAACCCTCCGAGCTGTCCACCTTCGCCAAGTGGTCTTTCCCTTGGCCATCTGTGAGTACTTACACAAGACTTACATTCAGTTTACAATTATGATACATCATTTTTAACAACATCATTAAGCCTTCGAATTATGCTGAAAAGTTAAAAAGTTTTGAATCCTAAGAATACATGTTTACACCCGCATAGCTTGTGTTAGAGTATGAAATTTCTAAAATGCGTCCGCTCTATAAATTGAGTCATGTTAGTTGGTAAATTTCTTTTTTTTTTCAAATTGACTGGTACTGCTAATGCGTCATAATTGGCGTGCGTCACTTCTGAAATTTTGTAGACTCAAAGTTTTACTCATTCAGTTTTCCCCAGTAGCGTTATCTACAAAAATTGTAGAAAAATAACTAAGAAAACAAAAAATAAAACAATTTTTTTTTTCAAATTTTCTGGCAGAAGTTTTAATTTCCAGATGGCGCTAAAAAACTCCAAAAACTTATTTACTTGAGGAAAACTCAAGCAAAAATAAGCTATTGCAAGCCTGCTGGCTCGCATTATTCGCTCGAATTTAGACTAAAAATGGAAAATTTAAAACTGTTTTTCTCGATACTGGGATAACTTTTTGGAAATTTTTAAAATTTCGTTCGAATCACAACTGAAAGAGCTTTAATATGATACATCATTCGACTCTTTCCCATAATTTTTGTGGTACCTGATTTTGCATGGAAAAGAAAAATAAAGACAAAAAAGCTAAAACACACCCGAATACGAAGTTCCTTCCCATTTCGCAAAGGGTCGGAACCAAGGCTGCTCAAAAATTAATTTTCAATTGAAAAATTAAATTTCAGCAAAAAATCAATTAACGGAAATGGAGAAAACTAAAAATCCATTAATGGCGTTCAGTTCGAATGTTTCTCAGTTTTCTTCTTGAAGAGCGTCATTGACGGTTTCAACATTCCACATTCGTGCATTGGCTCTGAAAAAGAGCTGTTCTTCGAGATGTAAAGGGGTTATTGACTGCCGCAGGTCACCCAGAGAATACCCAGCTGCGCTGAAAAATCTTTCAATACGGTTCGAGGTCGGCTTCAAAAATTTGTTTGCACTTTGTTTGGATTTCCACTTTCCGCCGCACAAAACATCTTTCTCTGAAATAACGGAAATGGCCTTTAATTTTTCGAATTAAAAATCCATTAATGCCACTTTGAATATTAAAAAATCCATTAATGGCCATCCATTAATGGCCGTTAATTTTTCCCCCCATTAATTTTTGAACAGCCTTGGTCGGAACAAAAACTGGCAACAGGAAATGATTTATATAAATGTTGAAGTAAATTGCAGTATATTTAATATCCGTTTTGCATCTAAGGCTCAACCGAATTTCAAAAAGGTCATCGGGTACATGTGGTGATGAATGTCGATAGAAACTAGATAAATTGTGTTCGAAATAGGCTTAATGGTCCCCTAGAGTGTACTTTCTTTCGAATGCTGGCCGTGGCTCAAAATTGAACTGTGTGTAAACGCCATCTACATTGCTCAATTGAATGAAACAGTAAAAGAAAGACACTGACGCTATCTATCCGTATAGGGAAAAGAGTTTTCTTCATGATTCCTCCATGGCAGACGGACCGAATGAAAGAAATAGAATTTTCTAAAAGCGGAAGAAGTTTTGAACAATTGTTAGAACTTTTACCATACAAAAGATTGTCATTGTCTTGATTTTTCTTCCATTTGGAGCTTCTGCCATGAGAATACTCTACTTCACAGTAGATTAGGAACATAGAAAACTGCCCGTTCGTTCATTCCTCTGGGAGTGTGAACCTAAAAGTAGGAAAATGTACAAAACTGGATCTTCAATGGCATAGTAGTTAGTAGTTCAGCGCTTGAACATTTGAGCTGCGATATGGCACTGAAATTTTGAAAGTAATTTTGACCTCTGATAAGGCAACTAGAGTTCAAAGGGATTGGTTTTTTTGCTCAATTAGTTTTCCTCTAAATAGTCAAATCAACCAAAATGTGCTTGGATGTTATGACATAAAAGGTGATGGTACGCTAAACGCAAGGCTATTAGCCCATTGAGGTCTAAAAAGGTTGATAGCATTGAGAAAAATGTGGAAAAATATTTAAAACAAATTGATTATACCATAGTTTGAAAAGTTACCGTGATATAGTAATATTGATGTTCAGTAGGTCACAAAGCAACAGTGTTATTTAAATACTTGACTTAATTGTCTAGGACTCCTCAACTGTTGGCCAGACATGTCTGGTTAAGAATACGGACAAGCCAGTGTACAATTTCAAGCAGAAGCTGCCGATATCGGACAAGAAGGAGAGAATGTCCAGACAGGTCAGAAGGAAGACATTCGACGTCACAGTCCTATCCAAGGGGTGAGCAATTTCATATCAACAGTAGGACTTAATAGAATTTAAAAGCAAATCAGGTTTTTGCATATTGATGGCCGTAAATTTTGTCTATGATGTTGACTCAGATAGGTTTTAGCTGTGGAGATAAGAACATGTTTAGCCGTTAAAAGGGATCGAATTGATTATTCAAAAATAATTGCGGTCGCGCCTAATCAGTTTGATTTGTGTAAATTTGATCAGTTTGTTTCTTACTCCTTAAAGTTAAGTTTTTTAAATGTGCGGAAGTTTTTTTTCGTTTTCAGTGGGATTTTCAAGTCTGACAGGGCCATAGGAGTGGCCCAAGTGAAGCTGGACATACTGGACAAAAAGTGCACTCTACACGAAGTCGTTCAAGTTAGTCACAATCATTTTGTATCACTGAAGCATTTTTTGAATAATGTTGTTTACGATGAGATTTATATTGAGGAAGTTTGACGTTAGATGATTTTTTATTCTGAAAGGAACATTTCTAAAACTAACAATTTTTCCGATTCGTTTGTCATATTATTATCCAATCAGTTATTTTGATGTTTCAACTTGAAATGTTCAATTGTTCTCTAGCTAATGGACCCCGTGCATACAAGAAGTAAAAGCACTTGTGGTAAAATTGAGGTCAGTGTGCGAGTGAGAGAACCATTCGTGTCCAAAGATACCGAAGATGTGATCGAGAAGTGGCTGGTAGTCGACGCCGAACCAACCAAACCCATTCAGCCTCCTAAATTGCAAAACTCCCCTCAACAGACAACAGCAATTGCAAGTGAAGCGGAAGCTGAAGGCAGTTCAACCGCTGGGAAAGAGAAAAAACGAGCACCGGCAGAAAACCAAAACGAGACCGACCCGAATACCCTGAGCGCAAGTACCAAGTCACCCCCAAAAAACAGAAAGAAATCTCCAAGACCCCCGCCCAGAGCGCCCCCTGGAGGTTCAAAATAAGAGAAAACTAATGACTGCTCTGAGAGTAGAATGTAAATTGAATTGTGATGTAATTTAAGACTTGATATGTCCCTTCGCCCATAAATAGAAATAATTTCGCAATTTCTGTCCTATCAAACAATGGTGCTCGTTCTAAAAAATATGAAATAACGTTTTCTCGAACCATTATTTTTGCAATTTCTCCGAATTCTAAATTTTCTGACTTTGTCTCCTAAACTTGAGATGCGTAGCTGATTACTGAGCGAAACATTAGTCTCATATAAGATTGCAAACGGTTTTTAACCAATGAATTTTTTTGGGCTCGTGCTCTTCGCTTTTTCACTCGCATTTTAACAGCACCACAATTATAGATCGAAGAAGGTTTTTTTTGAGTGTTGATAAACGAAGTATGGATCTTCTTGATGTATATTTTTTTAAAGAAAAAAGTTTCCAGCTCTATTGGATAACATGGATAATTTCTGTTTGGTGACATGTTTTCTGTATTGTTAAGGAACGTAGTTCAGACAATTAAATTAGTCGAGCTGATTTTTTATTATTTGAAGAAAATAAATTCAATAACGCTCTAATCTGATCTTTTCGCGTTTCATTTCTGGTTTCTTTACGCTTGCGATTAGCAAGCATTATCAAACCGGAAATATACATTTTTTTCCAGGCCTAGATGTAACGAATATGCCTGGGACTTGGGAAAGGATATGGTATCGTTAGCTTTTTTTAATGACGGTTGGTTCAATTTCTTCAACAGAAATAGATACGGAATCGAATATGATTGGATAAGATGGAGATCGTATCTCTCGCTAATGAATCGAAAAACTGGCAGAGTATTAACATAGCGCTCTATGTGCCGTTTCAAATCGATAAACTATTTTTTTTTAATTCTTAATGATTGTGTCGACATGTCATCTTCATCGCCATCTTCGATACATTCGTCTTCAGACGCAGACCAGGACCTTTTTTCAAACGGAAAATAGTCTGTTAAAATAAAAACTTCCCGTCAATTATTTTTTTGTCGGCTTAGTTGTCTCATCTTGGAATAGTCATTATTTGATGCGCGCATTTTTATTAAATTTAGCTTTTACGTACCTTAACTTAGTATATCATTTGTTTTTTTTCCTGTTTCGCTAAAAAAAATTTCATCGGCTCAAACAATCTCGGTCTATTTTTTATCGGGTTAATGTTCTAATTTTAGGTCGTTTCAAGAGAAACATAAATTAATCACTCGCATCCGCACTATTTAGGATGGATGTATGCTCACCAATCGGTTGATTTTTTTCAGTTACAGAAAACTTTCGAATTTATTGGAAAAGTTCTTAGATTTTTCTTAAATTTTTTATGAATTGCAACAAAGGGGCATTGATTTTCAAAAACCGTCTAATCTACTGTACTAGAGTCTCTTTTTACTTGACCCCTCTGTCTCCAGCCTTTGAAAAAGTCTGTGGGGAATATTTCACCCTTTTTTTTGATATTTTTTGTCTCCTCGAAAACGGCCCCTCTCAAATCTGAGTTTTAATTTTAAACGAATAGAACGGTTTGTGAAACTACCATCATAAGCGCTACGCCGATTGCTTTTACTTAAAAAGATATGGCTCTCGGAATAGTTTTGATTGATTTTTGATGGTTTTATTAGTCGTTTCGACTTTTCTCAGAATTGAACCTCTCAAATTTGGTATTGTGGGTTGAATGGAGATACCGGCTACTCACTTAATGGCCACTCACTAAGTTTTTCACACTAAAAATTATTGGCCTCGCAAAAAGTCAATTTTAAAAGTTTTTGACCCTTTTCTTAAATTTTTTGATTACTCTCAAAAACTACCGTGCCATATCTGAGATTTTGGGTTCAATTCAAGGAATGAGTTGTGGGAAACTCATTTGCTTATGCGACTACGCCCAAGTTTCTCTGACATCAAAAGTTATGACCATCGGAAAATTCTAAATTTATATTTTTTGACCGTCGGAGATTTTGGGTTCAATTGAAATAACAGGTGCGCTTATCCCTTCAACATAAGCGGTCACGCCCTTCTTTCACACAAGAAGCTATGATACTCAGAAATCTCAATATTTCAATTTTGTTGGACGTTTTTTTGAATTTTTCTCTTTACTGCCAAATCTGATATCTGAGGTTTAATCGGAACAACAGATTGTTGAAAGCCTATGTTTATAATTGGCTTTGCCCAGTCTGCTTGAGGAAAAATTGTTGGCCTTCCTATAAGTTAAAGTTTTGAAGCTGTGACAGTTTTTTGGAACCTTCTTGACTTAACGCGAAAATTACCGTGCCAATTCTCAGGCAGACTTGTTAACGGGCCGCCATAATTGAGGCCCGGCCCGGCCCAATATAATTCAAGTCGAGCTCGTTGGCGGCCCGATGAACAGGGAATTTATTAAATATCGGCCCGTTGCTGCTTTTTTGGTAGAAAACAAATTTGTTTCAAAACAATTTTAATTAATTGTTTTACTTATTTATAAAGACCTTTTTTAAAAGCCATGGAAACCATTTCAATTGCCTCAACGGTTGTTGGCGAAAGTTTTGCCCGTCTTTTGGATACCTTCAGACCGCAATCAGAGTCAAAGATTTCGTGCTTCGTGTCACGTCGAATTGTTTCTGCAGTGAATCGGCAGTGAACGTAGTAGTCATGTCGTTTAGCACACTGCAAGCTGTACAGTGCGCACTGAAACATAACATTGGTTAGTCAATAAAAGTAAGGCCCGTTGGGGCCCGTTGACAAAAGTGAAAACCTCGGCCCGGCCCGTTGACAAGTATGTTCTCAGGTTGTTCAATCGAAAAAACCGGGTTTTGGTAATCTTGTCTGATAAAGAGGCCGCAACCTGGTGTTAGCTGAAAAAATGTATGGATTCTAGAAATTCTTTGAACGTTTGTTAAATTTTGACCATTTTTTAGAAACTTCTTAAAAACTACACAAGCAAATCTGAAATTAAATTTTTTTTAAAGATCCGGTTGCGATATAATTACTCCTGCAGAAATGGCGACTCCTCAATGTTTTGTGTGAGAAGTGATATCTTCTTGGAAAAACTGATCTGATTTTGCCCTCAGAAAAATAAACCTTTTGATTTTTTGACCGTTTTTGAAGATTTCATTTTTTTTTAAAACTACCCTCCCAAATCTGAGATTTTTGTTCAACCGCAAGTACAGGTTCCGTGAATTTCATCTGCATAAGATTTTTTTAAAGAAAAACTTTATATTCTTGGGAAAATTTATTATAATAAAATTTTTACTCTTTTGTTTTTTTTTGCTTAGAAACAACTAAGGTTTTAAGCAAAACCCAACTTTTAAAATATTTTGTGCCGCACCTGTACAGCAAATTGATTCAAGGTCAAACACGTACCCCCAACTTTAGCCGGGCTCCTAGTTGTTTTTAATCAAGACATGCAAATTTTGGTTTACCTAATTTTTTTAACAACCTCTAATAAAATTGTCGACTTAGTAAAATTATAACAACGTGATTGCCTTCTGATTTCAATATTGAACTTACCTTTTCACGACTCAGTGGGAAAAAAAGCATCTAATTTTTTGAGTTTTTTTGGGGGGAATCATGTTTTTGGATTTAAAAAATAACCATCGAACTAGTCTCAAGAAGAATATTACATAAGTCGTGATGATTTTTTTTTGCTTTTTTCAAGGAGGGTATTTTTTATGAAGGCGTTGAAAGTAGTTCAGATTTTTATATAGTTCTAGATTATTTTTTTAAAAAGTTTGAAACGAAAACTAAAAAAAAATTGTTCACACTCAAATTTATTTTTTTCGCGGTTTGATTTTTGATTTTCTAAGTTATGTTCGTTTCCTTTGTTAAAAGGAAGGCAATCACTATCGAGCAGATAATTTTAAATTGCACAAAAAAACTAGATCAAACTTTATAGATATTAATTTTACAATTTCCTAGCAATTAAAATTTTACCTATTGAGAAAGTTTCAATGATAAACTGTTATCGGCTTCGAAATAGCTTTAAGGCCATATGTTTAAGAGTCAAGGAAAATAGTTCAGACTTGTACATAGGTCGCGATGGTTCGTTTTTTTTCTTCGAATTTTAAGGAAAATTCAATAAACTTGTTCAAGCTGAAGTTTATTCCTTCGCGGTTTGGTTTTTTTTCTAAGTTCAGTTCTATTCCTTCGCTAAAAAGAAGGCAAGCTCCATATCGAACAGCGAAAGAGTAAAATTCAAAAAATAATTGTGATTGACTGTAATTTCGAAAATGAAATTTAATTTTCAGATGTAGTTTTCAGCGAGACAAAATTTTTTTTTATTGATCCAGTTCTCTCAAATTGGATTTTTTTAAATCAAAAAGTGCCAACCATAAAGTGTTTAGGAAATTAAAAAGCTTTAGGGGCATCTGTTTTTTTCTCTGTGAATTTTGAAAACTGACATTTTTTCAAAAAACAAGTCAGCCTTGTTTTTCTGTTTACTTGCGTTTATTGACTCTTTTCTGACTGTCTGTTGGCTATGTTCTACCTTGAGTTTCGTTTCTTTTATAAAAAAATAATTTTTTTGTTTCTTTTTGTGGTGTGACTGTTTTCAAACTGTCTTGTCTGTTGGCCGGGTTTATAGTTTTAAAAGTGGTGCAAAATCAGAGATCAGGTTTATGCTTCAATTGTAGGCCTTAAAGAAGGCAAAAAATTTTTCTCAGGTGGAAAGCTTGCAATAATGGTAGCTTCTCAACGGTCAAAAAATGAAGTGATGACACTTCTGTAGGTCATGTTTATGAAAGTTATGTTGATATTTGTTCTCATTTAAGATTGCAAAAAGGAAGGCAAACAAGTATTTTGAATAAATAAAGTTCACATAGCGCGAAAAAAATTGAATGAGTCCTAGTTTCAAAAAACAATTTTATTTTTCAGAAAACCCAATTTCCCTCACTTATGACCAGGAAGGGGCAGCTTAATTGCATTATGCTGTAGTGGGTTGAAGGGCCGAGAAAGCAGGAAATATGCTGCTAGCTAGAATCAAATCAGTGGCGAGGTTTCTTGTCTGGCCTGCTGTTGCTACCTACCAGCGTCGACAGAATTGCGACGAATTTATTAAGAAAAAATAATTAGTTCACTAGGGTATCAAATTATTTTGAAACATGTTGCGACAAACACCAAGCAGTCCCTTTTCCGAGCTAGTGGTATGACATTATATCATATGAGTTTAGCAATTCGATTATGCAGTTAAACAAGTCGCCCCAGTGTTCGTTGGTTAACTTGTAGTTTTTTTTTGATATTGTTGTTAGAGTTTTTGTCGCGAATATAGCTCTTCATTCATAGTAAAAATTTAATAATTTGAAGAGATAATTTTTTTCAATTAGCTATTTGATAAATTGAAGCTCCAAAATTGGAGACAATTTTCTGTTATTGCCCTTTTAGTTTTAAAATGAAGGACTAACTGCGTGAAATTGAAATGAAACTGTCCTGAATCAAAAAAAATTACAATGAAGCTTGTTTGTTTGTTTGTTTTTATCATGTATGTTCCAAATTTTTAGGAACACTTAAAGCTGCCAATGCTTCTGCGGCAAACTGTGCCGGCGGCGTTCTCTCTGGAAACACACTGGTCATACCGGTGGAGCAACCAGCTGTCCCGAAGCACAACGCCGACCCAAAAGAGGTAGCCAGTCTGTTTTTGTCTATCGAAGAACAACTGCAGCTTCAGATCAATAAGTGCAAATACGACTCGGAGTATTATGCAAGTATAGGAGAGATTGCCAATGTGAACAAAGCGAAGAAAATGCTGCAATGCAGTGCGGTAGACTTGAATGTAGTGCAGGCGTGTAGATTGAGGGGAGAGTTGCCGCCCAAGATGCACTATGAGCAACGTGCCTTCACTAAAATAAGGTAAGCATTGTCCAGTTTATTGAATCGGCGATAGTTTTCCTCATAAGACCACTTATGCCAGCACGAGCACAGTATCTATGATCAAATTGATCGAAATTTTGCTGTGTCATTTCTCAGAAGACTAGCCAATTTATTTCCCAAACAATGGGTGTCACTGCTCGTCCCGAGACCCATGTCCCTGTGGCCAGCATCTCCGTTACATACAAGAGTGTGCTTAAGCATACTGTACAAATCAGCGTTAAACGTCATCTTTATTTGATACTGTTTTCTGATAAGGGTAAACAGTGATCTGAACGAGGGTGAGTGTGAGGTTCTGGTGTCGCGGGCGATCAACCTCCCATGTGCAGACGGGACCAAACCCTCCGAGCTGTCCACCTTCGCCAAGTGGTCTTTCCCTTGGCCATCTGTGAGTACTTACACAAGACTTACATTCAGTTTACAATTATGATACATCATTTTTAACAACATCATTAAGCCTTCGAATTATGCTGAAAAGTTAAAAAGTTTTGAATCCTAAGAATACATATTTACACCCGCATAGCTTGTGTTAGAGTATGAAATTTCTAAAATGCGTCCGCTCTATAAATTGAGTCATGGTAGTTGGTAACTTTCTTTTTTTCTTAAAATTGACTGGTACTGCTAATGCGTCATAATTGGCGTGCGTCACTTCTGAAATTTTGTAGACTCAAAATTTTACTCATTCAGTTTTTCCCAGTAGCTTTATCTTTAAAAGTTGTAGAAAAATAACTAAGAAAACAAAAAATAAAATTTTTTTTTTTTTTTCAAATTTTCTGGCAGAAGTTTTAATTTCCAGATGGCGCTAAAAAACTCCAAAAATTTATTTACTTGAGGAAAACTCTAGCAAAAATAAGCTATTGCAAGCCTGCTGGCTCGCATTATTCGCTCGAATTTAGACTAAAAATGGAAAATTTAAAAATGTTTTTCTCGATACTGGGATAACTTTTTGGAAATTTTTAAAATTTCGTTCGAATCACAACTGAAAGAGCTTTAATATGATACATCATTCGACTCTTTCCCATAATTTTTGTGGTACCTGATTTTGTGTGGAAAAGAAAAATAAAGACAAAAAAGCTAAAACACACCCGAACATGAAGTTCCTTCCCATTTCGCAAAGGGTCGGAACCAAGGCTGCTCAAAAATTAATTTTCAATTGAAAAATTAAATTTCAGCAAAAAATCAATTAACGGAAATGGAGAAAACTAAAAATCCATTAATGGCCATTAATGGCGTTCAGTTCGAATGTTTCTCAGTTTTCTTCTTGAAGAGCGTCATTGACGGTTTCAACATTCCACATTCGTGCATTGGCTCTGAAAAAGAGCTGTTCTTCGAGATGTAAAGGGGTTATTGACTGCCGCAATTCACCCAGAGAATACCCAGCTGCGCTGAAAAATCTTTCAATACGGTTCGAGGTCGGCTCCAAACATTTGTTTGCACTTTGTTTGGATTTCCACTTTCCGCCGCACAAAACATCTTTCTCTGAAATAACGGAAATGGCCTTTAATTTTTCGAATTAAAAATCCATTAATGCCACTTTGAATATTAAAAAATCCATTAATGGCCATCCATTAATGGCCGTTAATTTTTCCCCCCATTAATTTTTGAACAGCCTTGGTCGGAACAAAAACTGGCAATGATTTATATAAATGATTTATATGTATAAATGTTGAAGTAAATTGCAGTATATTTAATATCCGTTTTGCATCTAAGGTTCAACCGAATTTCAAAAAGGTCATCGGGTACATGTGGTGATGAATGTCGATAGAAACTAGATAAATTGTGTTCGAAATAGGCTTAATGGTCCCCTAGAGTGTATTTTCTTTCGAATGCTGGCCGTGGCTCAAAATTGAACTGTGTGTAAACGCCATCTACATTGCTCAATTGAATGAAACAGTAAAAGAAAGACACTGACGCTATCTATCCGTGTAGGGAAAAGAGTTTTCTTCATGATTCCTCCATGGCAGACGGACCGAATGAAAGAAATAGAATTTTCTAAAAGCGGAAGAAGTTTTGAACAATTGTTAGAACTTTTACCATACAAAAGATTGTCATTGTCTTGATTTTTCTTCCATTTGGAGCTTCTGCCATGAGAATACTCTACTTCACAGTAGATTAGGAACATAGAAAACTGCCCGTTCGTTCATTCCTCTGGGAGTGTGAACCTAAAAGTAGGAAAATGTACAAAACTGGATCTTCAATGGCATAGTAGTTCAGCGCTTGAACATTTGAGCTGCGATATGGCACTGAAATTTTGAAAGTAATTTTGACCTCTGATAAGGCAACTAGAGTTCAAAGGGATTGGTTTTTTTGCTCAATTAGTTTTCCTCTAAATAGTCAAATCAACCAAAATGTGCTTGGATGTTATGACATAAAAGGTGATGGTACGCTAAACGCAAGGCTATTAGCCCATTGAGGTCTAAAAAAGTTGATAGCATTGAGAAAAATGTGGAAAAATATTTAAAACAAAATGATTATACCATAGTTTGAAAAGTTACCGTGATATAGTAATATTGATGTTCAGTAGGTCACAAAGCAACAGTGTTATTTAAATACTTGACTTAATTGTCTAGGACTCCTCAACTGTTGGCCAGACATGTCTGGTTAAGAATACGGACAAGCCAGTGTACAATTTCAAGCAGAAGCTGCCGATATCGGACAAGAAGGAGAGAATGTCCAGACAGGTCAGAAGGAAGACATTCGACGTCACAGTCCTATCCAAGGGGTGAGCAATTTCATATCAACAGTAGGACTTAATAGAATTTAAAAGCAAATCAGGTTTTTGCATATTGATGGCCGTAAATTTTGTCTATGATGTTGACTCAGATAGGTTTTAGCTGTGGAGATAAGAACATGTTTAGCCGTTAAAAGGGATCGAATTGATTATTCAAAAATAATTGCGGTCGCGCCTAATCAGTTTGTTTTGTGTAAATTTGATCAGTTTGTTTCTTACTCCTTAAAATTAAGTTTTTTAAATGTGCGGAAGTTTTTTTTTCGTTTTCAGTGGTATTTTCAAGTCTGACAGGGCCATAGGAGTGGCCCAAGTGAAGCTGGACATACTGGACAAAAAGTGCACTCTACACGAAGTCATTCAAGTTAGTCACAATCATTTTGTATCACTGAAGCATTTTTTGAATAATGTTGTTTACGATGAGATTTATATTGAGGAAGTTTGACGTTAGATGATTTTTTATTCTGAAAGGAACATTTCTAAAACTAACAATTTTTCCGATTCGTTTGTCATATTATTATCCAATCAGTTATTTTGATGTTTCAACTTGAAATGTTCAATTGTTCTCTAGCTAATGGACCCCGTGCATACAAGAAGTAAAAGCACTTGTGGTAAAATTGAGGTCAGTGTGCGAGTGAGAGAACCATTCGTGTCCAAAGATACCGAAGATGTGATCGAGAAGTGGCTGGTAGTCGACGCCGAACCAACGAAACCCATTCAGCCTCCTAAATTGCAAAACTCCCCTCAACAGACAACAGCAATTGCAAGTGAAGCGGAAGCTGAAGGCAGTTCAACCGCTGGGAAAGAGAAAAAACGAGCACCGGCAGAAAACAAAAACGAGACCGACCCGAATACCCTGAGCGCAAGTACCAAGTCACCCCCAAAAAACAGAAAGAAATCTCCAATACCCCCGCCCAGAGCGCCCCCTGGAGGTTCAAAATAAGAGAAAACTAATGACTGCTCTGAGAGTAGAATGTAAATTGAATTGTGATGTAATTTAAGACTTGATATGTCCCTTCGCCCATAAATAGAAATAGTTTCGCAATTTCTGTCCTATCAAACAATGGTGCTCGTTCTAAAAAAAATGAAATAACGTTTTCTCGAACCATTATTTTTGCAATTTCTCCGAATTCTAAATTTTCTGACTTTGTCTCCTAAACTTGAGATGCGTAGCTGATTACTGAGCGAAACATTAGTCTCATATAAGATTGCAAACGGTTTTTAACCAATGAATTTTTTTGGGCTCGTGCTCTTCGCTTTTTCACTCGCATTTTAACAGCACCACAATTATAGATCGAAGAAGGTTTTTTTTGAGTGTTGATAAACGAAGTATGGATCTTGTTGATGTATATTTTTTTAAAGAAAAAAGTTTCCAGCTCTATTGGATAACATGGATAATTTCTGTTTGGTGACATGTTTTCTGTATTGTTAAGGAACGTAGTTCAGACAATTAAATTAGTCGAGCTGATTTTTTATTATTTGAAGAAAATAAATTCAATAACGCTCTAATCTGATCTTTTTGCGTTTCATTTCTGGTTTCTTTACGCTTGCGATTAGCAAGCATTATCAAACCGGAAATATACATTTTTTTCCAGGCCTAGATGTAACGAATATGCCTGGGACTTGGGAAAGGATATGGTATCGTTAGCTTTTTTTAATGACGGTTGGTTCAATTTCTTCAACAGAAATAGATACGGAATCGAATATGATTGGATAAGATGGAGATCGTATCTCTCGCTAATGAATCGAAAAACTGGCAGAGTATTAACATAGCGCTCTATGTGCCGTTTCAAATCGATAAACTATGTTTTTTAAATTCTTAATGATTGTGTCGACATGTAATCTTCATCGCCATCTTCGATACATTGGTCTTCAGACGCAGACCAGGACTTGTTTCAAACGGAAAATATTCTGTTAAAATAAAAACTTCCCGTCAATTATTTTTTTGTCGGCTTAGTTGTCACATCTTGGAATAGTCATTATTTGATGCGCGCATTTTTATTTTATTTTTAGCTTTTATGTACCTTGACTTAGTATATCATTTGTTTTTTTTCCTGTTTCGCTAAAAAAAATTCATCGGCTCAAACAATCTCGGTGTATTTTTTATCGGGTTAATGTTCTAATTTTAGGTCGTTTCAAGAGAAACATAAATTAATCACTCGCATCCGCACTATTTAGGATGGATGTATGCTCACCAATCGGTTGATTTTTTTCAGTTACAGAAAACTTTCGAATTTATTGGAAAAGTTCTTAGATTTTTCTTAAATTTTTTATGAATTGCAACAAAGGGGCATTGATTTTCAAAAACCGTCTAATCTACTGTACTAGAGTCTCTTTTTACTTGACCCCTCTGTCTCCAGCCTTTGAAAAAGTCTGTGGGGAATATTTCACCCTTTTTTTTTGATATTTTTTGTCTCCTCGAAAACGGCCCCTCTCAAATCTGAGTTTTAATTTTAAACGAATAGAACGGTTTGTGAAACTACCATCATAAGCGCTACGCCGATTGCTTTTACTTAAAAAGATATGGCTCTCGGAATAGTTTTGATTGATTTTTGATGGTTTTTTTAGTCGTTTCGACTTTTCTCAGAATTGAACCTCTCAAATTTGGTATTGTGGGTTGAATGGAGATACCGGCTACTCACTTAATGGCCACTCACTAAGTTTTTCACACTAAAAATTATTGGCCTCGCAAAAAGTCAATTTTAAAAGTTTTTGACCCTTTTCTTAAATTTTTTGATTACTCTCAAAAACTACCGTGCCATATCTGAGATTTTGGGTTCAATTCAAGGAATGAGTTGTGGGAAACTCATTTGCTTATGCGACTACGCCCAAGTTTCTCTGACATCAAAAGTTATGACCATCGGAAAATTCTAAATTTATATTTTTTGACCGTCGGAGATTTTGGGTTCAATTGAAATAACAGGTGCGCTTATCCCTTCAACATAAGCGGTCACGCCCTTCTTTCACACAAGAAGCTATGATACTCAGAAATCTCAATATTTCAATTTTGTTGGACGTTTTTTTGAATTTTTCTCTTTACTGCCAAATCTGATATCTGAGGTTTAATCGGAACAACAGATTGTTGAAAGCCTATGTTTATAATTGGCTTTGCCCAGTCTGCTTGAGGAAAAATTGTTGGCCTTCCTATAAGTTAAAGTTTTGAAGCTGTGACAGTTTTTTGGAACCTTCTTGACTTAACGCGAAAATTACCGTGCCAATTCTCAGGCAGACTTGTTAACGGGCCGCCATAATTGAGGCCCGGCCCGGCCCGATATAATCCAAGTCGAGCTCGTTGGCGGCCCGATGAACAGGGAATTTATTAAATATCGGCCCGTTGCTGCTTTTTTGGAAGAAAACAAATTTGATTTCGAATATGATTGGATAAGATGGAGATCGTATCTCTCGCTAATGAATCGAAAAACTGGCAGAGTATTAACATAGCGCTCTATGTGCCGTTTCAAATCGATAAACTATTTTTTTAAAATTCTTAATGATTGTGTCGACATGTCATCTTCATCGCCGTCTTCGATACATTCGTCTTCAGACGCAGACCAGGACTTTTTTCAAACGGAAAATATTCTGTTTAAATAAAAACTTCCCGTCAATTATTTTTTTGTCGGCTTAGTTGTCACATCTTGGAATAGTCATTATTTGATGCGCGCATTTTTATTATATTTTTAGCTTTTATGTACCTTGACTTAGTATATCATTTGTTTTTTTTCCTGTTTCGCTAAAAAAAATTCATCGGCTCAAACAATCTCGGTCTATTTTTTATCGGGTTTATGTTCTAATTTTAGGTCGTTTCAAGAGAAACATAAATTAATCACTCGCATCCGCACTATTTAGGATGGATGTATGCTCACCATTCGGTTGATTTTTTTCAGTTACAGAAAACTTTCGAATTTATTGGAAAAGTTCATAGATTTTTCTTAAATTTTTATTGAATTGCAACAAAGGGGCATTGATTTTCAAAAACCGTCTATTCTACTGTACTAGAGTCTCTTTTTACTTGACCCCTCTGTCTCCAGCCTTTGAAAAAGTCTGTGGGGGAATATTTCACCCTTTTTTGATATTTTTTGTCTCCTCGAAAATGGCCCCTCTCAAATCTGAGTTTTATTTTTAAACGAATAGAACGGTTTGTGAAACTACCATCATAAGCGCTACGCCGATTGTTTTTACTTAAAAAGATATGGCTCTCGGAATAGTTTTGATTGATTTTTGATGGTTTTATTAGTCGTTTTGACTTTTCTCAGAATTGAAACTCTCAAATTTGGTATTGTGGGTTCAATGGAGATACAGGCTACTCATTTAATGGCCACTCACTAAGGTTTTCACACAAAAAATTATTGGCCTCGCAAAAAGTCAATTTTAAAAGTTTTTGACCCTTTTCTTAAAGTTTTTTATTACTCTCAAAAACTACCGTGCCATATCTGAGATTTTGGGTTCAATTCAAGGAATGAGTTGTGGGAAACTCATTTGCTTATGCGACTACGCCCAAGTTTCTCTGACATCAAAAGTTATGACCATCGGAAAATCCTAAATTTAGATTTTTTGACCGTCGGAGATTTTGGGTTCAATTGAAATAACAGGTGCGATTATCCTTTCAACATAAGCGGTCACGCCCTTCTTTCACACAAGAAGCTATGATACTCAGAAATCTCAATATTTCAATTTTGTTGGACGTTTTTTTGAATTTTTCTCTTTACTGCCAAATCTGATATCTGAGGTTTAATCGGAACAACAGATTGTTGAAAGCCTATGTTTATAATTGGCTTTGCCCAGTCTGCTTGAGGAAAAATTGTTGGCCTTCCTATAAGTTAAAGTTTTGAAGCTGTGACAGTTTTTTGGAACCTTCTTGACTTAACGCGAAAATTACCGTGCCAATTCTCAGGCAGACTTGTTAACGGGCCGCCATAATTGAGGCCCGGCCCGGCCCGATATAATCCAAGTCGAGCTCGTTGGCGGCCCAATGAACAGGGAATTTATTAAATATCGGCCCGTTGCTGCTTTTTTGGAAGAAAACAAATTTGTTTCAAAACAATTTTAATTAATTGTTTTACTTATTTATAAAGACCTTTTTTAAAAGACATGGAAACCATTTCAATTGCCTCAACGGTTGTTGGCGAAAGTTTTGCCCGTCTTTTGGATACCTTCAGACCGCAAACAGATTCAAAGATTTCGTGTTTCGTGTCACGTCGAATTGTTTCTGCAGTGAATCGGCAGTGAACGTAGTAGTCATGTCGTTTAGCACACTGCAAGCTGTACAGTGCGCACTGAAACATAACATTAGTTAGTCAATAAAAGTAAGGCCCGTTGGGGCCCGTTGACAAAAGTGAAAACCTCGGCCCGGCCCGTTAACAAGTATCTGCTCAGGTTGTTCAATCGAAAAAACCGGGTTTTGGTAATCTTGTCTGATAAAGAGGCCGCAACTTGGTGTTAGCTGAAAAAATGTATGGATTCTAGAAATTCTTTGAACGTTTGTTAAATTTTGACCATTTTTTAGAAACTTCTTAAAAACTACACAAGCAAATCTGAAATTAAATTTTTTTTAATGTTCCGGTTGCGATATAATTACTCCTGCAGAAACGGCGACTCCTCAATGTTTTGTGTGAGAAGTGATATCTTCTAGGAAAAACTGATCTGATTTTGCCCTCAGAAACGTTTTGATTTTTTAGCCGTTTTTGAAGATTTCATTTTTTTTAAAAACTACCCTCCCAAATCTGAGATTTTTGTTCAACCGCAAGTACAGGTTCCGTGAATTTCATCTGCATAAGATTTTTTTAAAGATAAACTTTATATTCTTGGGAAAATTTATTATAATAAAATTTTTACTCTTTTGTTTTTTTTTGCTTAGAAACAACTAAGGTTTTAAGCAAAACCCAACTTTTAAAATATTTTGTGCCGCACCTGTACAGCAAATTGATTCAAGGTCAAACACGTACCCCCAACTTTAGCCGGGCTCCTAGTTGTTTTTAATCAAGACATGCAAATTTTGGTTTACCTAATTTTTTTAACAACCTCTAATAAAATTGTCGACTTAACAAAATTATAACAACGTGATTGCCTTCTGGTTTCAATATTGAACTTACCTTTTCAGGACTCAGAGGAAAAAAAAGCATCTAATTTCTTGAATTTTT